CTTGAAAAAAACCCATTGTGCAGACGAAACCTCTGAATAAAGTTTGCAGTTGCAGTTTTTGTCTTCGTCGTCTGATGCTTGAAGAAGCAGACAAGCTTATCTCTCCCGTCCCTCTCCCACCACTAACACCAACACGTCCACATTTATCCTAGTCATAAAGTCAACAATCCTACCGTCGCCGGTTATTTCATAACTAAACATGCTCATTCTTTGTATATACGACATTGGTGCATGTGTTGTGTGGAAAATGTCCCATTATGAGAAATATACATTAAAATTGAGCCATTTGTGTAGCGTTTAGAATGTTAATGAGATGGCCAGCGAGGTCGTCAACCTTCACAAACGACCCTTATCGCCGGTGAAGGGCTCTTGATCCAAAGAATTGAAGCACCTCTTCCCATTTCCTTGGATCAAATCTGATTGCTTCCAATCCCCACAAAGCGCTGTATGACTTCCTGCGGGTTTAGCTCTCCCCCATGAAATAAATTCACTGGCGACCTCGCCTTTCTCGCCTGGGGAAGTTCTCTGACCTCTTCAGCGTTGAATCCCCTCAAGGAAGGTTCCTTGATGTTGGTGAGGGGCTCTTGATTTAGGGAATTGGATCTATGCTCCAGTTCCCCAAATTAAGCCTGAATGCCTTCCACATACCCCCCCAGGCGCTGTATAATCCTCCGGGTTTAGCGCTTCCCCCTTGATTGTAATAATAATAATTCAGCGTTGAATAGTTAAGGAGAAGAAGATTAATGGATTAATTGTAGTATACTGCGAGTGTAGTGTATCTAAGGAGTGAGCAGGGCAAAGCTGTTATGCTACTATGTGTAATAATGATACACACAAAAGAATACCCACACCTACTGCAAGAGTATGCATGTATACACATATATCAGTACCGGGTAGTGCAGTATGTAACTTGTATACATTTTATGTTAAAATGATATGTAAATCCGTTAAGCAAAAATCAAAAGTGGTTGGGCCACTTTTTTTATCCCTCTTCTCTCTCCTCATACCTCCTCTACCCCTTTCCATTCTTCCTTCCCTCTCGATATGGGAGCTCTGGTCATACTTCGTTCATATCAGTGTGGTGCATTCAACCAGTACGATATATCGGCTGATTTAAAAGACACTTCTCTCGCCACATCGTCACCCCGGTCGACTTGCGGTTTCAGGATCGGTCATTCAAGGTGAGACTTGGCTCTTAGGTACCCGTGGAAATGTTCCCTGGAGGAGGTGGTAATCCAGCAGAGCAGCATTTTGGCCCTCCTTATATGCCCACGACTTGGCGAGGTACGACCTGGCGGTGGGACCGGACTGCGGGGACGGTGACCTGAAATAACTGCAGGTAACCAGGTCCTAGGTATGCTTGCCGGTATTTCCTGGTGACGGCGGACAATGTCCGCCGACAATTGTAGAAGGATTTGGGTCTAAATCTGCACACAAATCATTTTCCATGAAAGTAAAAGGCTTAGTAGACGGTGCAAAATACTTCCAATGAAAAGCTGGGGTGCACTGAGTACACTCAGGGGAAACTCAGTGTGAAGGGACCAAGACTTGTGTATTTTTCCCTCATACATGAAGGGGATTGCCAACAGACCCCTGGGTGTCTTTGAAAGAGAACTGGACAAATTCTCAAGTCAATAGTTGATCAGGCCCTGATCCATCGGGAGGCCTGGTCATGGACCGGGCCGCGGGGGCGTTGATCCCCGGAATAACCTCCAGGTAACCTCCAGGTAATCCATGATCAGCCGGGCTGTGGTATATACGTTGAACTCGGTGCGGCCAGCACCAATAGCCTGGTTGATCAGAGCATCTGCTGGGAGGCCTGGTCTAGGACCGGGCCTCGAGCGTTGGCCATCGGAACACTCTCTAGGTAGACTCCAGGTCAGAGAGAGCTGCTGCATCCATTAGCTTTTTTTTTTCCCCACTCGGAAGACCCATGAGGGTTTAGAGCTTTTTGCTAATGTAAAAAATAACCTAGACTTGGGTGCTGCAGTTAGTTTTCCATGTGTTGCTTCGTGGTGTTCTGCCCTACGAAAGGGGAATAGGACTGGTCCAGGACCAACCGGGTCCTCTTATAGGCCCTTCATTCTGAAAGTGTTGACTTATTGTCTGTTAACAACTTATTGACCTTTTTACATGGCTGTGACTTACCCCTGATCGGTTTCCAGGGTTGTCCTCATGTAGCCCGGTCTGAGACCATACTGCAGGTTGATACTGTTGAATCTAGTTAGACCATACTGCCTGTTGATACTGTTGATTCTAGTTAGACCATACTGCCTGTTGATTTTAGTTAGACCATATTGCCTGTTGATTCTAGTTAGACCATATTGCCTGTTGATCCTAGTTAGACTGTACTACTTGTTGATTCTAGTTAGACCATACTACCTGTTGATACTGTTGATTCTAATTAGACCATACTGCCTGTTGATTCTGGTTAGACCATACTGCCTGTTGATATTGTTGATTCTAGTTAGACCATACTGCCTGTTGATACTGTTGATTCTAGTTAGACCATACTGCCTGTTGATTTTAGTTAGACCATATTGCCTGTTGATTCTAGTTAGACCATATTGCCTGTTGATCCTAGTTAGACTGTACTACTTGTTGATTCTAGTTAGACATACTACCTGTTGATACTGTTGATTCTAGTTAGACCATACTGCCTGTTGATTCTGGTTAGACCATACTGCCTGTTGATACTGTTGATTCTAGTTAGACCATACTGCCTGTTGATACTGTTGATTCTAGTTAGACCATACTGCTTGTTGATTCTGGTTAGACCATGCTGCCTGTTGATACTGTTGATTCTGGTTAGACCATACTGCCTGTTGATACTGTTGATTCTAGTTAGACCATACTGCCTGTTGATACTGTTGATTCTAGTTAGACCATACTGCTTGTTGATTCTGGTTAGACCATGCTGCCTGTTGATACTGTTGATTCTAGTTAGACCATACTGCCTGTTGATACTGTTGATTCTAGTTAGACCATACTGCCTGTTGATTCTGGTTAGACCATGCTGCCTGTTGATACTGTTGATTCTAGTTAGACCATACTGCCTGTTGATTCTGGTTAGACCATGCTGCCTGTTGATACTGTTGATTCTAGTTAGACCATACTGCCTGTTGATACTGTTGATTCTAGTTAGACCATACTGCCTGTTGATACTGTTTATTCTAGTTAGACCATACTGCCTGTTGATACTGTTGATTCTAGTTAGCTCTGATCTGCCACGAGATATGAATGGAACAATTCTCATTTCATGGCATTTTAGTGAGAAAATATTTCGTCCATCAGGGACTTGATCAATTCCTGGTAAACTGATTGACAATCCTGGGTGGACCAAACGTCTCGATAAAATGCCATCAACAACCGCGAATTCTTTCATATATCTACTTGTCGGTGTTTTTCTATCACTGATATAGAATCAGCCATGATATAGCTGATCCTGGACCACCATCTGACATGGGTGTGGCTAACGCCTGCAATCATGAGGGATGAGTTTTTTTTTTTTTACACTGAAGGGCGGAATTAATGCCCTTTCATGTTCAAACGCTGACTGTTCTGTATTTATTGGCTGGTTGTAGTTGTGGGATCCCGCTTGAATGAGGTACCTTGGTAACATTGGGGGGCTCTTGATCTTAGGAAGTAGAACCATCCTTCCCTTAGAGCAAATCTGATTGCCTTCCAATCCTCATGAGCTGCATGACCCCTTCAGGTTTAGAACTTCCACCCTGATGAGGGTAATATTAATAATAATAATAATAATAAAATGGGGAAGATGATCTTGTCACAACTGCTAAATTAATATAAAATTACAGAGGCTTTGAAAGAAAACCAAAACTTTGCTAAGGTATTGACAAATGCGATCATGGAACAATAGTCCATTAAACAAGGTCAAGAGGAAAAGTAGGATAATGGATATTCAATTTTTGAACATATGTAACACCTAGGTATTGTTATTGATAAGACATTGCACCAAGCAGTGGTTTCATCAATCCACTATGGGGAATAAACGTACTGAAGACAGTGGAAGAAATGGAGAGGGAATTTTGAGGTGTTAGTCTCACTTTTTGATGTGCTTGGACCTTAGCCTTGATAAAGGTTACGGGACTGAACGCCTATTAATGGCTGAGGGATTGAACACCTCTGTATTCCCTCTCCTCGTTCACCATTTCCACCAGGGGCAGTGATAGTTGGAGGCTTTAGCCCCCCAAATTCCCTCAGCCCCCAAAGCCCCTCTAACTAGATAGCCACCCCTAAGTCCCCCAGTACCGAAATTCAGGGGAAATGCTGCTTCACTATGTATGACTGGTGTGCCTTCCAGCTCAGGGTTTTTAGGTTTAGGCATGATTTTTCTGGTTACAGTGGCACCTGTAAAGACCTCAGTGAACTTTTAAGGAAACTGTTAATGTGGGATTTTATGAGTGATTATATTTTACCTGGTTGTTTTAGATGTTTTCTGGCTGGGCTTATTTAAAATCTTTATTTTAAATAATGGAGCACTGAAGAATGGACTGGTTCTGTTACTTATCAAGGGCTGTTGAGGAGAGGTCCTCAAGCTGATATTTTTTCTCTCTCCCCTATCTTAAATATCCTCTTCTTTAAATTGTTATAGTTGTTTTATGGCCTACAGTCTGGTGAGTCTTGTGATATGTGACTTTTGGCCTGTGACTTGAGTGAATTACGAAATGTAACTTATAAACTTTGATTTGTTTCGAGTACACTGTGTTGGAGGTAAGGATTTATGTAATATTGCAACAAATTTAACACAATAACAGGAAGTTTTTAGTAATGATAGCAACAATTTGATACCAATACCATTTCATATTTAAAGTATGGTACTGAATACCCAAAGAGTTTTAGTAATTTTTCAGTCTTGCAGATCGCCGGGTATTTTAATGTTAAAAAATGTGGTGCATACGTGCCTACTTGTATGATACTGTGCTTTACTAAAATGTCAGATCAGTTTTATTGCTGGCTAATGCAAGTTTTATTTTCAGGCAACGTCACCTGCCGGATCCAGTGATGTCTACCGAAACAGCCACCATAGAAGCAGCGTGAGAATTACTATCACAGTAGTAAAACTTGCACTGACACCCTATAGCACATCTCAACACGTATAATCATGAAGAGGTTCAGAAGTGTCAGCCTGTGCTTCTTGTGTTTAGCTGTTTGTGTCTTGGGATCCAATGCAGAGGGTGAGCAGTTTGATGAACCGGAGAACTATGACTACAGCTATGGTGATTACAGGTACCAATATGAAGGTGAACCTCCTGCCGCACCACAACTACATGCTGAGAGCCATGTTGCTGATCCAACTCATCTTGTAGGTGAGGGTGGCAAGTATAACACCTTTATAAAAAATGAGGAATAATTCACAGTTTCCCCATAAATTGAAAATAAGATGTGGATGATGTTTCAGTTTGTCATGGACCATTTATCAAAGGGCAGATTGACAATGGTCCAGGTTAGACTGAAACCTCATCCAATTTTTATTTTCTAATTTGTTGGTAAACTGTATATTGGTCCAGACACATTATTGTGGCATATTTTTCAATTTGAAGAACACTTACAAAACACCAGTTACCTGGATACCAAAATTTTAAAATTTTTTAGCACAGATGAGCATTTATTTAGAAAAAGATGCACTTAACGATTGATTGAACAATTCGAAAATCATAGCTGCTAGTACTTACAGTATGTAAATCTTTTTGTTTAATTAAAGACTGCTTTATAGTCATCACTGCTGCTGTTAATTCTACAGCTGATAATATACAAGCTATTGAATTTTTATTTATTGTACTTTTGGTATATAGTAACCAGCTTATGTATTAAGAAATGTTAAAGGGATCATTATCACTGGTATTATAATCATGGGCTTTAATAAACTCATGAGGGTCACACAGTGCCTAGGAATTAGAGGTAATTTGGTTTGATCTAAAGAAGGAAGTTGTAGTTCCAACACCATGAATCAAGAATCCTTCACACGCATCAAAGCATCTCCCCTGACAGGCGGGGAATTATAACTTCTTTTTAATTATCTTGGTGGCATGTTCCCACCAGCGCATGGCGATTAATTTATTTTCTCGCATTATGTAAATTTATAAGGTTAGGTGCTTATTTGTGTTGCACCAAGCATAAGCATCAGTCAGTACATACTAAGTGTGGCCAAACTGTGGCTTGGGAACTGCATGCAGCCTGTTTGCAGCACGATGAGACAGTGTATTCAGAGTATGAATTAAATCTGGATATTGTCTCATGAGCCTTACTGAATGAGAAATTGACCTGCACCGAGCAGTGGCTAGGCTACATCTGACATTTCCTGTAATACATACATTCCTTACATGTGCATACGTATTTTTCTCAGTCTTGTATACCTGGAGGGTGTTCCAAGGGTCAGCGCCCCTGCGGCCCAGTCCATGACCAAGCCTCGCAGTTCTTAATCCAGTACCATTTCCATTCCAGTTTTCCTGGAAAAGTGGTTAGACAGCTTAAGCCAGAGTGATGGTGAATGTTATCTTCTATGGGTCATCTTGCCTTGTCGAGAAACAACTGGCATTAAATAGGGCATAACCCATTGCTTTAATATAGCTTCTTTTCCTTGTCATAACATGTTCTTTACTTTTGGATTATTATTAATGATATGACCAGTGAGGGGTCTCTTGATCCTAGGAAATAGACCTGTACTATTTCCCTTCCTTGGGGATAGGTGGGTAATCAGGTTTGATCTGAGGAATGGGTGTCTCTATTTCCTTGGATCATAAGCACTTTTCCAGCATCAGGGGACCCTCTTGAAGGGATATTTTTCTCTTCCTGCTTTTCATTTATTTCATGACATTTCATCCTCTTGGTAATCATCTTAATTAAATTGTTAGTGTGCATTCCTCTATTCACCTATTTCCAGGTATTTGTCTTATTTTTACATATTCCATTTTTATTCCACATACAGTACAGATAACATTAAAAATTCTTGGCATTTTTCAACTTATCAATGCAGTACATAATGGGTAATAATGTGTAGATGTACAGTGGTACCTCGGGATACGAACTTAATTCGTTCCAGAAGGCTGTTCGAGTGCTGATACCGAACAAATTTGTTCCCATAAGGAATAATGTAAATTAGATTAATCCGTTTCAGACCCCCAAAAATACACTTACAAAAGCACTTACATAAATACACTTACATAATTGTTTGCATTTTGAGCTGTTTGTATCCTGAGGTATCACTTGTAGTATTTGCTTTTATTTTTCATTTCAGTTTTTCTACGTTAACTTCACCCTTAATTTTTTTTATATAAAATTTTCGTCACTTCCAACATTTGTGATTTAATTTTCAGGGACTCTTTAGATAGTTTTTCAGAATCAAAATATTCCTCAAGCTTTTCTTCACTTATTTTTATTATTTACGTTTTGTAAGGTTCCTCCTCACTTACCTCTTATACCACACTTTAACACTGAAATTGATTAAGGTTGTCCAAAAAAAGACAAACTAGGTTCTCTTTTGAAAAATTCTTTAAATATATATTTACAGATGAACCAAGAGGTGAAGAGCTGCCCTTGTGTTGTCCCCCAAACACAGTGTATGATGTCTACCACAACTGCACAGGTGTTCCTGAAGGCTGGACCTGGAAACCTTTTCTTTCTGGAGAACCCCATGCACTGTTTACCTACAAGGGGTTCCCCAAGTAAGATACATGTATCTTATGCATTTCATTTTAACCCTTAAATGGTCCAAACGCATATATACGCTTTTTCAACATCTGAAATTATGTAAAAAAATATAGATCTTTTTTGTTTTACATTTGAAAACGTGTAAAAAAACTTTTATCTACACTGCACTGGCCAGGGAGGTATACCATCTTTTAGGAGTGAAGAAGAGCAGAATGTAAGTGTGGTGGAGGTACGTGAGGCATTACGTAGAATGAAAGGGGGTAAAGCAGCTGGAACTGATGGGATCATGACAGAAATGTTAAAAGCAGGGGGGGATATAGTGTTGGAGTGGTTGGTACTTTTGTTTAATAAATGTATGAAAGAGGGGAAGGTACCTAGGGATTGGTGGAGAGCATGTATAGTCCCTTTATATAAAGAGAAAGGGGACAAAAGAGATTGTAAAAATTATAGAGGAATAAGTTTACTGAGTATACCAGGAAAAGTATACGATAGGGTTATAATTGAAAGAATTAGAGGTAAGACAGAATGTGGGATTGCGGATGAGCAGGGAGGCTTCAGAGTGGGTAGGGGATGTGTAGATCAAGTGTTTACATTGAAGCATATATGTGAACAGTATTTAGATAAAGATAGGGAAGTTTTTATTGCATTTATGGATTTAGAAAAGGCATATGATAGAGTGGATAGAGGAGCAATGTGGCAGATGTTGCAAGTATATGGAATAGGTGGTAAGTTACTAAATGCTGTAAAGAGCTTTTATGAGGATAGTGAGGCTCAGGTTAGGGTGTGTAGAAGAGAGGGAGAATACTTCTCGGTAAAAGTAGATCTTAGACAGGGATGTGTAATGTCACCATAGTTGTTTAATATATTTATAGATGGGGTTGTAAAAGAAGTAAATGCTAGGGTATTCGGGAGAGGGGTAGGATTAAATTATGGGGAATCAAATTCAAAATGGGAATTGACACAGTTACTTTTTGCTGATGATACTGTGCTTATGGGAGATTCTAAAGAAAAATTGCAAAGGTTAGTAGATGAGTTTGAGAATGTGTGTAAAGGTAGAAAGTTGAAAGTGAACATAGAAAAGAGTAAGGTGATGAGAGTATCAAATGATTTAGATAAAGAAAATTGGATATCAAATTGGGAAGGAGGAGTATGGAAGAAGTGAATGTTTTCAGATACTTGGGAGTTGACGTGTTGGCGGATGGATTTATGAAGGATGAGGTTAATCATAGAATTGATGAGAGAAAAAAGGTGAGTGGTGTGTTGAGGTATATGTGGAGTCAAAAAATGTTATCTATGGAGGCAAAGAAGGGAATATATGAAAGTATAGTAGTACCAACACTCTTATATGGATGTGAAGCTTGGGTGGTAAATGCAGCAGCGAGGAGACGGTTGGAGGCAGTGGAGATGTCCTGTTTAAGGGCAATGTGTGGTGTAAATATTATGCAGAAAATTCGGAGTGTGGAAATTAGGAGAAGGTGTGGAGCTAATAAAAGCATTAGTCAGAGGGCAGAAGAGGGGTTGTTGAGGTGGTTTGGTCATTTAGAGAGAATGGATCAAAGTAGAATGACATGGAAAGCATATAAATCTATAGGGGAAGGAAGGAGGGGTAGGGGTCGTCCTCGAAAGGGTTGGAAAGAGGGGGTAAAGGAGGTTTTGTGGGCGAGGGGCTTGGACTTCCAGCAAGCGTGCATGAGCATGTTAGATAGGAGTGAATGGAGACGAATGATACTTGGGACCTGACGATCTGTTGGAGTGTGAGCAGGGTAATTAGTGAAGGGATTCAGGGAAACCGGTTATTTTCATATAGCTGGACTTGAGTCCTGGAAATGGGAAGTACAATGCCTGCACTTTAAAGGAGGGGTTTGGGATATTGGCAGTTTGGAGGGATATGTTGTGTATCTTTATACGTATATGCTTCTAAACTGTTGTATTCTGGGCACCTCTGCAAAAGCAGTGATAATGTGTGAGTGTGGTGAAAGTGTTGAATGATGATGAAAGTATTTTCTTTTTGGGGATTTTCTTTCTTTTTTGGGTCACCCTGCCTCGGTGGGAGACGGCCGACTTGAAAAAAAAAAATCTACAATTTTTTTTTGTTATATTTGAAAATATGTAAAAACAAGTAGATCTACTTTTGTAGCAATACGAATTTGAACATCGATCTATTTGGACCGTTTAAGGGTTAATAGTTCTGTTTTCAGTTATATGGGCATTTCTGTCTTGGTAATTTGCATTCCTTCATAAGGAGTTCCTGAAACAAATTAAATATCAGGGCATAGTACAGAGATTATGTGCACATTATCTCTTCTTGATTGATTCTTAGGAATAATGAAGGATTTACTGATTAATGATTGAGGAAAAGTAGTAGCACTTGATAGGGAATCATATTTTATTGAGTAAACATTACATCATGTGGACACTAACCTGGGTTAGCCAGGTGGCCTTCCCATGCCAGTACTCCTTCACTACCTGGTAGATTCAGGTCAACCAGGTGGCCTCCCCATGCTAGTACTCCTTCACTACCTGGTTGACCCAGGTCAGCCAGGTAGCCTTCCCATGCCAGTACTCCTTCACTACCTGATTGATCTAGGTCATCCAAGTGGCCTCTCCATGCCTATACCCCTTCACTACCTGGTTGACCAGGTCAGCCAGGTGGTATCCAAACAGTTATACTGCTGCACCTCCAGGTTGACCAGGTCTCCCAGGAGGCATCATGACCCTTGCACTACCTGGTATCCTGACACCTGTACCATTGCTTCTCCTGGCTGACCCAGCGTCGAGTCGGCATTATGCCTTATTTACATGATCCAGTAAAGGGTTGGATTCCAAATCTGCACACTGAAACCACCCTCAAAAAGCAGGAGACGCAGTGAATATGTAAAGTTTCCAACTTTTCTTAATTAAATGCAGACCTACAATAAATACATGAAGATTTACATATTATATGATGCGCAACGAACGTTTCATTATATTTTTCAGGGAAAAATAATTGGCACTGAATTTAGATAGTTTGTGACTGTGATTAAAATGTTTTCTGAAGGCTGAATAATTTTCTACTTTTAGTATTGAAAGTAGATTATTATTATATTTAGAGGGATGTTCTAAACTCACAAGGGTCATGTAGCACCTGAGGAATGGTAGGAATCAGGCTCAGTTCCCAAAAAAAGGGTAGAACAGGCTCAATTCCTGGGATCAAACACGTCCCCCAATCACTTACAATGAAGAACCTCCTTCAAAGGGGCAAAATAGAACACGGGCAATCCTATAACTATAATTGTGGAGGTTTAAACTGATTGTTGTAAAGGAAAGTGAATGATGGGTGTTAATGTATAAAGTTCCGTGTATAGGTGATAAATCTAGATGACACCATTGAAGTAACTAATTGTCTATAATTCTAAAAGATTTGTTGAATTGTGAGAAGGATAAAATGTAAACACAAGTTCAGTGCACAATAATTTTTATGTATTTGTGGATAGGTGTTAACAATTTATCAGAAAATTTCATTGTTTTCCTATCAGGTGCAAGCTGAGTGAACCAGTATCCATATACCAAAAGGAGGTGTTTTTTAATGATGGAGATGCTTTTGTGCCAAATTACATCCAGCTAGATCATATTCCACGGTCAAAGTACTGTGTTACCAAGGTAAGAGTATAAATCATAAATGAAGATCAGACAATGCCACTGGTATTGTATTTACTTGTATGTAAAGAGGAGAGCTAGCAAGCACTTGGTTCATTATTTATTGGTGCAAATAACTAACAGAAAGGTACCAGTTCATTATTTATTGATGCCAGTAATTAACAGAAAGGTATTGGCAGTCTTTGCTTATTTTTATATTGTATTCACTGAATGATTTTTAGTTTACTTGTTTTAAAAAAAATTATGTAGAAATAATATACTACCATACTTTATGCTGATCTGCCGTGTATTTTCATAATTTTGTTTATTATACATACAAAATGTTAACTTTATATAATTGAATAGTATCATAATAATGCTACTATTAAATGGATTCCAAAAAAATGATACATAATTGTAATTTGAGTGCCTTCTCAAAGACAGTGATAGTGTGAATTATGGTGAAAGTGTTTCTTTTTTTGGGTCACGCTGCTTCGGTGGGAGACGGCTGATGTGTTAAAAAATTGTATTTATAAAAAATTTTGGAGTCAGTAGTATATATACATTTTAATTATTAATGGGGATTTTTTTTTTTTTTTCAACAAGTTGGTCGTCTCCCACCGAGGCAGGGTGACCCAAAAAAGAAAGAAAATCCCCAAAAAGAAAATACTTTCATCATCATTCAACACTTTCACCACACTCACACATTATCACTGCTTTTGCAGAGGTGCTCAGAATACAACAGTTTAGAAGCATATACGTATAAAGATACACAACATATCCCTCCAAACTGCCAATATCCCAAACCCCTCCTTTAAAGTGCAGGCATTGTAGTTCCCATTTCCAGGACTCAAGTCCGACTATATGAAAATAACCGGTTTCCCTGAATCCCTTCACTAAATATTACCCTGCTCACACTCCAACAGATCGTCAGGTCCCAAGTATCATTCGTCTCCATTCACTCCTATCTAACACGCTCATGCACGCTTGCTGGAAGTCCAAGCCCCTCGCCCACTAAACCTCTTTTACCCCCTCTTTCCAACCTTTTCGAGGACGACCCCTACCCCTCTTTCCTTCCCCTATAGATTTATATGCTTTCCATGTCATTCTACTTTGATCCATTCTCTCTAAATGACCAAACCACCTCAACAACCCCTCTTCTGCCCTCTGACTAATGCTTTTATTAACTCCACACCTTCTCCTAATTTCCACACTCCGAATTTTCTGCATAATATTTACACCACACATTGCCCTTAGACAGGACATCTCCACTGCCTCCAACCATCTCCTCGCTGCTGCATTTACCACCCAAGCTTCACATCCATATAAGAGTGTTGGTACTATTATACTTTCATACATTCCCTTCTTTGCCTCCATAGATAACGTTTTTTGACTCCACATATACCTCAACACACCACTCACCTTTTTTCGCTCATCAATTCTATGATTAACCTCATCCTTCATAAATCCATCCGCCGACACGTCAACTCCCAAGTATCTGAAAACATTCACTTCTTCCATACTCCTCCTCCCCAATTTGATATCCAATTTTTCTTTATCTAAATCATTTGATACTCTCATCACCTTACTCTTTTCTATGTTCACTTTCAACTTTCTACCTTTACACACATTCTCAAACTCATCCACTAACCTTTGCAATTTTTCTTTAGAATCTCCCATAAGCACAGTATCATCAGCAAAAAGTAACTGTGTCAATTCCCATTTTGAATTTGATTCCCCATAATTTAATCCCACCCCTCTCCCGAACACCCTAGCATTTACTTCTTTTACAACCCCATCTATAAATATATTAAACAACCATGGTGACATTACACATCCCTGTCTAAGACCTACTTTTACCAGGAAGTATTCTCCCTCTCTTCTACACACCCTAATCTGAGCCTCATTATCCTCATAAAAGCTCTTTACAGCATTTAGTAACTTACCACTTATTCCATATACTTGCAACATCTGCCACATTGCTCCTCTATCCACTCTATCATATGCCTTTTCTAAATCCATAAATGCAATAAAAACTTCCCTACCTTTATCTAAATACTGTTCACATATATGCTTCAATGTGAACACTTGATCAACACATCCCCTACCCACTCTGAAGACTCCCTGCTCATCCGCAGTTCTACATTCTGTCTTACCTCCAATTCTTTCAATTATAACTCTACCGTATACTTTTCCTGGTATACCCAGTAAACTTATTCCTCTATAATTTTTACAATCTCTTTTGTCCCCTTTCCCTTTATATAAAGGGACTATACATGCTCTCCGCCAATCCCTAGGTACCTTCCCCTCTTTCATACATTTATTAAACAAAAGTACCAACCACTCCAACACTATATCCCCCCCCCTGCTTTTAACATTTCTGTCATGATCCCATCAGTTCCAGCTGCTTTACCCCCTTTCATTCTACGTAATGCCTCACGTACCTCCACCACACTTACATTCTGCTCTTCTTCACTCCTAAAAGATGGTATACCTCCCTTGCCAGTGCATGAAATTACCGCCTCCCTTTCTTCCTCAACATTTAAATGTTCCTCAAAATATTCTCGCCATCTACCTAATACCTCCCTCTCCCCATCTACTAACTCCCCTACTCTGTTTTTAACAGACAAATCCATTCTTTCCCTAGGCTTTCTTAACTTGTTTAACTCACTCCAAAATTTTTTCTTATTTTCATTAAAATTTCTTGACAGTGCCTCTCCCACTCTTTCATCTGCTCTCCTTTTGCACTCTCTCACCACTCTCTTCACCTTTCTTTTACTCTCCATATACTCTGCTCTTCTCTTATAACACTTCTGCTTTGTAAAAACCTCTCGTAAGCTACCTTTTTCTCTTTTATCACACCCTTTACTTCATCATTCCACCAATCACTCCTCTTTCCTCCTGCCCCCACCCTCCTATAACCACAAACTTCTGCCCCACATTCTAATACTGCATTTTTAAAACTATTCCAACCCTCTTCAACCCCCCCCACTACTCATCTTTGCACTAGCCCACCTTTCTGCCAATAGTCACTTATATCTCACCCAAACTTCCTCCTCCCTTAGTTTATACACTTTCACCTCCCTCTTACTTGTTGTTGCCACCTTCCTCTTTTCCCATCTACCTCTTACTCTAACTGTAGCTACAACTAAATAATGATCCGATATATCAGTTGCCCCTCTATAAACATGTACATCCTGGAGCCTACCCATCAACCTTTTATCCACCAATACATAATCTAACAAACTACTTTCATTACGTGCTACATCATACCTTGTATATTTATTTATCCTCTTTTTCATAAAATATGTATTACTTATTACCAAATTTCTTTTTACACATAGCTCAATTAAAGGCTCCCCATTTACATTTACCCCTGGCACCCCAAATTTACCTACTACTCCCTCCATAACATTTTTACCCACTTTAGCATTGAAATCCCCAACCACCATTACTCTCACTTGATTCAAAACTCCCCACGCATTCACTCAACATTTCCCAGAATCTCTCTCTCTCCTCTACACTTCTCTCTTCTCCAGGTGCATACACGCTTACTATAACCCACTTTTCACATCCAATCTTTATTTTACTCCACATAATCCTTGAATTTATGCATTTGTAGCCCCTCTTTTCCTGCCATAGCTTATCCTTCAACATTATTGCTACTCCTTCTTTAGCTCTAACTCTATTTGAAACCCCTGACCTAATCCCATTTATTCCTCTCCATTGAAACTCTCCCACCCCCTTCAGCTTTGTTTCACTTAAAGCCAGGACATCCAGTTTCTTCTCATTCATAACATCCACAATCATCTCTTTCTTATCATTTGCACAACATCCACGCACATTCAGACTTCCCACTTTGACAATTTTCTTCTTATTCTTTTTAGTAATCTTTACAGGAAAAGGGGTTACTAGCCCATTGTTTCCGGCATTTTAGTTGACTTTTACGACACGCATGGCTTACGGAGGAAAGATTCTTATTCCACTTCCCCATGGATATAAAAGGAAAAGTAATAAGACCAAAACTATTAAGATTAAATCAAAGAAAACTCAGATGAGTGTGTATAAATAAACGTGTACATGTATGTGTAGTGTGACCTAAGTGTAAGTAGAAGTAGCAAGACGTACCTGTAATCTTGCATATTTATGAGACAGACAAAAGACACCAGCAATCCTACCATCATGTAAAACAATTACAGGCTTTCGTTTTACACTCACTTGGCAGGACGGTAGTACCTCCCTGGGTGGTTGCTGTCTACCAACCTACTACAGTAAATAGTAAATAGCTTTAAATATACAAATAGAAACTACTGATGATTATTATTATTAATTTTTGCTTTTAATCAGTATTGTACTGAATTTAATAAGCAAGTGAGCTCAGTTATATAAAAACAGTTCAACTGTTCTCACTTTGCAAGTTATACAGCCTCTCCTCACTTAGCGATGTACTCATTTACTGTATTGATGACTCGGACTTCTGACAGGCTCAGACCAGTATGCATACCTAAGTAATGTATATTAGAGCTGATTTCCTCTATTCTATTCATTACAATATACAGTACACTACTGTATAAACATTTAAAAAATACCAGAAATGTTATAAATGGTGCAAAGGTAACATTAAAGCAATATCAAAGATGGTTGACACAAACCCACTACCATTATAGTATGCTCCTCACTTAGCAACGAATTCATTTACTGACGTGGTCTTAAGAATGGAACTCTGTCATTAAGTGAGGAGAGGTTGTATTTTCCCTTTTGCAGTAGGACCTCAAGAAATGTATTATTATTATTATAATCAAGGGGGAAGCGCTAAACCCGGAGGATCATACAGCGCCTGGGGGGGGGGGATGTGGAAGGCATTCAGGCTTAATTCGGGGAACTGGAGCACAGATCCAATTCCCTAAATCAAGAGCCCCTCACCAACATCAAGGAACCTTCCTTGAGGGGGTCATCAAGAAATGTAGATTTTAACCAATTTATGAAATTTTTCTAGTTGTTGCCATGAGGGGGATGTGCTTAATCATTTTTGTTTATAACTTATTAAATTTGAAACTTGGTATCAGTACCAGGTTTTATTGCAAGTTCAGGATCACAGGTACTATAATTGAATCTTTTTTTTTGTTTTGTTATTTTTCAATTTTCATTCTTGAATTGGGATGGTGATGGAATTTACATACTTTGCAGTGACTTTATCTCTTTTATGGTCTGGCAAGGATTATTTCTTAAAATTACAGGTGTATGACAGCACCTCTCCAGAAGATTGTGAAATTCACCAGACAAAAGTTTTTGTATGTCTTGAGAAGAAACAGCCTGAACCAGGACTCTACTGGACGGGAGTGGCTGTGGCTCATCTGCTCCTTTTCTTAACTCTGCTTGCTTTCTTTTTTATAAGGGATCTTCGATCATTACAGGTCAGTTGTGCATCTTTGTTTTATAGTAGCAAGTGTATCCACTTCTTCATTTTTCAAAAATTCACTTTTTATATTATATCTGATCTGCTTTTTCTTTTTCCTCATCTCACCAAGTAACGGCTGACTTGTTGAAAAAAAAAAAAAAACAGAAATAGAGAATCACAAATGAAATTGTCATAAAGTAAGAGAGACCTGTATTTTGGACACTATGGTCATGTTCTAACTGTATTTGCCTTATTTTTCAAGAAGCAAACTTACATCTCAGTTATTAATATATTCATAAAAAATGCTGAATTTTAGTCTTAAAAATATCTAGATTATAATACCTGTTTTTGTGAGGGGTATAGGGCATAACTATGTTAAAAAAGAATGTACAATAATTGTGAATATTAACCCCTAAATTAATAATTAGTAAATTTATCATTTGCATATGATATGTATAATAATAATAATAATAATAATATCTTTATTTACTACAAGTACATGTACATGCTGTACAGGCCTAGCTGACATCAGTAACATACTACTATGTAGAAAGCCCCTTGTTATGCTGAGCATTTCGGGCAAATTAGGTCAGTTTTGTCCCAGGATGCGACCCACACTAGTCGACTAACACCCAGGTACCCATTTTAAACTGATGGGTGAACAGGGACAGCAGGTGTCATATGGAAACATGTCCCAAATGTTTTCCAGCCGTACCAGAGGAGATTCGAACTCTGGACCGCAGTGTGTGAGCTGAGTGCGCTAATGATCGAGCTACGGGACACCGTAGAGTAAAATATATTTAAAATTATATTTTTGCCTCTTTAATAGTAGGCAGTCCACACCATAACTACAGTTTTCTTCCTCAGGGTCAGTACATGATCTGCTTCATCATATCGCTTCTGCTGTACAACATCTGTCTGCTACCAGGATCAGTACTCACTCTAGATATCAGCTTTGTGTCATGTGTATCCCTAGGTGAGTTGACACCTGCCGAATGTCACTCTCACTGATTTCAGCCCCTAAAACTTAAAACCTTTTTTTTTTTATAACCTCCCTCCAATCATTCCTGGGATGACCCCTACTCTTCCTACCATCCACCCCAGATTTACACATCCTTCTCATCATCCCATACTCTCCATCCTTTATTTAAGTTCAGATCACCAGAAAATGTGAAAAATTGTTGATGAAGAGCCATGGTATCATTCCCATAATTTATTCAGATTCATTTTTTAGTATTAAACTACTTATCCCTCCATTTTTTTAATCCATTGACCTACTACTCATACATCACTTATATAATTTGAAAATTATCCTGGCACTCGTCTTTTTTTTTTATGGTAACAAGTTTATCCACTACTTCATTTTTCAAAAATTCAATTTTTATATTATATCTGAAATGCCTTTTCTTTTTCCCCATCTCACAAAGTATCATATACAAATAGGTAATTAAATATAACATTGTGTATTAAATAATCAATATATATAATTTTCTTCCTCAGGGGCTGTAAAATACTTCTTTTTCTGTGGAGTGATGCTGTGGTTCAATGTGATCTGTTTTGATATTTGGAGAACTTTAAAGTAAGTATTGTATGACACAGGTGTGGTGCATGTTTTGATGATCTTTATTGTGAAACTTGTCCTCTAATTTTGATTAATGAATGTGGGAGCAAGAAGAAAAAACGATAATTCGTAAAATGGCATAAAATAATTTTATGCGTCTTATTTGAATTCTCCAAAAATCTAAAAAAAATTTCTTCTGTAAAGTACCCTACATACATACACTGTGCTCTCTCACACTAAATTACATTTAAATTAAAACATCATTATTATTATTATTCTTTAGTAGCTGTATCCTGCTAAGGCAGGGTTACCTAGACAAGAAAATATGTTCACCATCATTCATTTCATAACTATATTGATTGTAGATGAATGGTTCACAGAACCGACACGTTGATGAATTAGACACATGTGCAACTCTTGGGTATCTTTATTAAGGAAACGTTTCGCCACACAGTGGCTTCATCTACAATCCTGTCAGACACTGCAACTTCTTGGGATCTTAATACTTGGGAATTCTTCGCTTGCCTAACCCTTGGGCACGACCTACTTCCACATTGGGCAAATGTGACACCACCTATAACTGCTGCACCTCTCCTACCTACGGTTTATAAGCTCCTTCTCCGCTCATATGCCGTATTCTACTCAAGATTGATGGACTGACCACATCAACGCAAGGTTGAGGGACTGATTACCTCATTCTTCTTCCTATTCTTCAAGCTTCTCCTGTGTATGGACTGATGAAGCCACTGTGTGGCGAAACGTTTCCTTAATAAAGATACCCAAGAGTTGCACATGTGTCTAATTTATCTTTATTGAAGTGTGCTCACATCACAATTCAGATTGCCCTCATTATTATCATCATTACATAACTGAGGAGAGCACTATATCTGTATGAATCATATAGTACCTGAGGGAATGGGAGACAATCAGGTTCAATCCAAGGAAATAGAGGATAAGTTCAGTTACCTGGATAAAGTGTCTAGTCAGCCTTATTGAATAGTTGTCTTTTATAATTTCAAATGTATCCTATTGTAAGTTTGATATTTTGGATATGCCAACAATTTACTTATTTTATTAAGCATGTCATTAGTCTTATAAAGTGATGTAAAGCTATTTATTGAAAGAAAACAGGTGTCTTCTTAAAGAATTTTATGAAGTTAGAAGTATTTACCAGTGAGATAGTTCTGTGATTTTGTATTGTGATTTTCATCCACTACTTAGTCTGTCTTCTGCCTCTAAATCCAGTCTGTAATTGTTAGTACAGTATATATTTTTTATTTTTTAAGAAAGCACTAAACCAGTAAGAGTCGTATAACCCCAGCAGAATGGAAGATAATCAGGTTTGATCTGGGAAAAGAAAGGGTAGCTCTTATTCCTTTATCTAGAGCCCTTTACCATCATCAAACCATCCTCCTTCAAGGTTTTCCTCTCAAACTTATTGCATTTTTTTTATTTTATGTCAGTGATGGCAAAAAATTTTTTCTTTGGGTCACCTGCCTTGGTGAGAGACAACTGGTGTGTTAAAAAAGTCATTGTTTTGTCAGCTGTTTCTACATTCTTTTGATTAATGTCTGCATTTTATTGTTTAATACAACATTTATAGATGAATGGTTCAGAGAACCGACATGTTGATAAATTAGACACATGTGCAACTCTTGGGTATCTTTATTGAGGAAACGTTTTGCCACACAATGGCTTCATCAGTCCATATGTAGGAGAAACTTGAAGAACAGGAGAAGAATGAGGTAATCAGTCCCTCAACCTTGAGTCGATGTGTTCAGTCCATCAATCTTGAATAGAATACGGCATATGAGCGGAGAAGCAGCTTATAAACCGTATGGCAGGAGAGATGCAGCAGTCATAGGTGGTGTCACATTTGTTCAATGTGGAAGTAGGTCGTGCCCAAGAATTAGGCAAGCAAAGAATTCCTAAAGGTTGAGGGACTGATTACCTCATTCTTCTCCTGTTCTTCAAGTTTCTCCTACGTATGGACTGATGAAGCCACTGTGTGGCGAAACGTTTCCTCAATAAAGATACCCAAGAGTTGCACATGTGTCTAATTTATCAACATGTCGGTTCTCTGAACCATTCATCTACAAACCTGTCAGACACTGCAACTTCTTGGGATCTTAATACTTAGGAATTCTTCGCTTGCCTAATTCTTGGGCACGACCTACTTCCACATTGAACAAATGTGACACCACCTATGACTGCTGCATCTCTCCTGCCATACGGTTTATAAGCTGCTTCTCCGCTCATATGCCGTATTCTATTCAAGATTGATGGACTGAACACATTGACTCAAGGTTGAGGGACTGATTACCTCATTCTTCTCCTATTCTTCAAGTTTCTCTTACGTATAGACTGATGAAGCCACTGTGTGGCAAAACGTTTCCTCAATAAAGATACCCAAGAGTTGCACATATGTCTAATTTATCTACAACATTTATTTTCCAGAAATCGCCAAGATGTTGGCTCTAGAAAGCGTTTCCTATTGTACTCTGTGTACACCTGGGTTGTTGGAGCAGTGTTGACGACGGTTGTCCTGGTCACGCCATATGCAACCGGCAAGGATCGTGATAGCAGCCTCATGGAGCTTGTCCCAGATGTTTGTAAATTAAAAAGTAAGTAGATATACATGTACAGAAAATTAGTAGAGGCTTAATACATTGAAAATTATATTCATAGGGAAGCACTAAATTCCCAAGGGTTATACAACACGTGCAAAATGGGAGGTATCATGTTTGATCCAAGGAAGGAAAGAGTAGCGCCAATCTCTTATATTGAGAGCATCGAAGCGCTACCAGGACTCAAGTCTGGCTAACCAGTTTCCCTGAATCCCTTTAAAAAATATTACCATATTCACACTCCAACAGCTCATGCTGTATTAATAAAATATTCCCCAAGGGAAGTGCCTTGATGCTGCTGGAGGTATCCTGATTTAAGGAATTGGAGCTACCTTTTCCCATCCTTGGATCTAACCTGATCACCCCAATTCCTCAACCACTGTAAGACCATTGCAGATTTAACACTTCCCCATGAATATACAGTACATCCCTCACCTACAGTGTTCCCCATTTATGAAATTGACACCCCCATTTATGAAATTGACACCTTGAAATCAACTAACATCTTACAAATGTTGATCTGCAGTTACAGTCATTGCAAATCTTAAAGCAGAAATCATTTTTTTTTCTTTTTTTTTTTTTTTTTTGCTATTTTTTCCCAAAAGAATTCATGTTTTGCATATGTTCATTTTCCGCATGTGGTGAAAGTTTCTTTTTGGCAGAGAATGTTAAATAGTTATAGGTTCAATAATGACACTTTTGTTAAAGCAAAATTATATTCATTATTTTCTTCCTCTGTCACTTTCTTCAATGCCGTCAGAACTTCACACTTCCAGCATTAGTCTTGGCACCTCCCAACATCACTAATATGGTAAAATGAAGTAGTGTCAGAGTTTATAAACTACAAAAGAATTTTAAAAAGTGAAATATTAAGAAGAGTTGCTATGTAACTGTTAAAGAAAAAGGTGGAGAAAAACAGTGGATTTCTTTTGTGCCTTACAGTATTTTATTACATGTTAAACTACATTATCTGTGTACTGCAGAAAAGAAATCAATTACTTGTAATAACAATGACATAGCAGCTTAATGGGAATGTAAATGCCTGGCAGATTAATTACCCATGGGTATTTCTAGGTATTTCCATCATGTTCGCTCCCATTCCTTCCCTACCACCCTGGGCAGGAAGTTTGCACAGGATACATGGTATTGGGAGAAAATAGATGGATATATTTTGAACTTTGTCACTGCTACAAGTTTTACTTTTTTTAATTCTTAAATTTATTTAATTTTCTAATGATAATGTGTGATTTTTATTTCCAGCCGATATTAACATAATCTTGCAGTTAGTAGAGACGTTATTGATGATAGTGAACTTCATCTTCATTATATTGGCAACTGCAAATACTTGCAAGTATCCAAAGTTTGGAAATGGTCTCCCACGATGTGAAGCAACTCTCAGGTAACCCATTGTTTTGCTTTCAACACTTGCTGTATTATTTTAAATAATATAGTGATGGAAGGGGAGTTAATGTCAAAAAATGATAATGTTCGTAGCTGGCAGAAAGCCAACAGTTGGTGAATCAGACACTACAGCATAAACCTTTTTTATTTAGTGACATTTTGCTCTCAGGGTTGTCAAATACACCAGAGTACAAAAACATGTGTTAATAATAATAAAAATACAAAGTGCAGGTATGCAGGTATACCACATACAGTACTTGACAAAGCCTCATTGAGTGTGAAATATAGTACTACTACTAATAATTGCTTTAGTACAGTATAACCCCATATCCACTGATTCAGTATCCGCTGTTTTAGTTATCCATGGTTTACTGTGACCCAAAAATACCTCTTAGTTTTGCATAATAATGGTCCCAAAGAGCAAAAGTAGAGAAGCTGTGAAGTGCTTCCCATCAGTGAAAAAGTGATAATTCTCCACTTATTGTGCAGAATTTATATGCTTATACAGGATTTATAGGGTTTGCTGCTATCTGTGGTTTCAGTATCCATGGCAGGTCCTTGAAACACATTTCCCCTCAGATATAGGGGTCCTATCGTATTTGCTAATAATTATTATAATCGTTAGGCGGTAAACCCACAAGGGACATGCAGCACTGTGCTAATAATTAGACGTTCTCGAAGGGAGGTTTTAAGTTGTTACCTGAATTTTTTTCTCTTTTTATTTCTTCTGACTTAGTTTTTATTTTGTTCATAATACGAGAAGATTCTTGAAACATTTAGCATGAGCAAGTGCCCTATAACCAGAGTTGTAGAACCTATACAGTGTTGTGGGCCAGTAGTTTTCACATTTGTAGGGTCTTTTAGGAGAGGAATAATAACCTTGGTTATGAAGTGCTTATGTATGCATTTATTAATATGCACAGCACTCTATGACCCTTGTGGGTTTAGCACTTAATTATGATTATAATAATAATATGCTAAGGAGGTATTGAGTTGTATGACCCACATGAGTTTGACACATATATATGAGTATAATAATCAGGAAGACTAAGATGCTGCAGGAGGCAGCCATATTATACTTAAACTGCTCTTGTTATTGCAGAGGTTTTGTTGCATTCCTCATGTTCATACAGTCTAACATCATTAAATTATTGTATTAATAAAAATATACTAAAACCCTTTGAGTAAAATTATGAAACTTAAAACTCTAAGACTACAAAGTTCATACTATGGCATGATGTTTTATATCATAGTTCATTTAAAAAAGCTGGTTGATTTATCTGAATTTTAAATCACCATTTTCCTTTGATTATTGCAGCAACTGGTTACACAGAAACATGTAATTGAAATGATTGAAAAGTTACTATTGCTTACTGTCTACTTATTATTGTGGCTGGAAAAGTAAAGTATAATATGAAGGGATATCTTTATTGTACATTATTTCACCCACAAAGTGGCTTTAACGTGTTTTTGATAAAAGCCCTCTCATGAGGATTCCCTGTATATTGTGTCTTATTGTTTCCACATTTTTTTTTTTTTTTACACATCACTTACAGGCTAAGAGCTGTTATACTACCTCAGTTTATTTCAAAGCCTAGCTTTATCTAAGGTATATTACCACTTCCTGGGATACAACCCACAACAGTTGACTAACACTCAGGTACCTACAACTTTGATCCTCTGGGGATTGAACCCCGGACACCCCTATATATTAGCCGAGTGTGCTACCAACCAAACCTAAACCAGTAATTATTGTAACTTTTTTTGGCAATTTGGTTTTGCTTAATTAAATACTGAAGAAAGAGGAGAATGCATCCTAACTAAACTCTTGTCAACAGTTTGAAACAAGGATGGAAATTGTTCATCATCATGATCGGCCACACACTTATTGATGTTCCTGATGACATAATGGAAATAAGAGTTGTTGAGTGAGTATTTATCCTTAATTTCTACTATTATTGTACAATATAGTGCTACATATACTGTATTCCTGCCATCTCTCCTAAAATGGAACTTTGTATGCTTTCTCTATATGTCCTCTTTTCTTGAAGCAGTTTCAAGCAATGTGTCAGTGACTTAAAAAGTACATTAATGTAAGCAGATAATCTTAGTTTACAAAATATAATATTCTACAAGTTTTATATACAGCAGGGCCCCACTTATACGGCAGGTTAGGTTCCAGGCTACTGCCGTAAAGTGGAAACCGCCGTAAAGTGGAACACCCTTTTTTTCCACTTATAAATGCATACAAACACTAGATAACAAGTTTACACTAACATATATTAAGTTAGCAATAGAACCAGGCATCAAAAAACAATAAAAAATTACAATACACACATAGTGCACTCATTACATACCTTAAAATATTTATAGTCTTAATCTAGGGTGAGACAAGTAAGAAATCAAGTGTGGTATGTATGGTAATCAGCCAGGCTACCCCACCCACACATACTATTCTATGATATTTAAGCATCCCAGAGCGATAAAATGTATATACAGTTCACTCATTACTTACCTTAAAATATTTGTAGTCTTAATGTAGGGTCAGAAGTAAGTAAATGAGATAAAACTAATAAATGAGAGAGAGAAAGAATGAGTACATGAGAGGGGACAGGCGCAGAGTTATGTAAACAAACCAGGCGAACGTAAGTTTTGTAAACAAACGAAGTGTACACGTCTGGTTTGTGTACAAGTTACATTGTGTACAGGTTGTCTCTACATTGATACGGTAGAATTAATAAAGAAGAATACTCCCATTCTCATGTAACATCATTTTGAGAAGAAATGAAGCTCTGAGTGAAGGCAATGGAAATAAGTCACACTGACTTTTTTGGGTTATCCTAGGTTCTCTACACATATGTTGTTATGTATGATAATCTATGTAACTGTATTTGTGTATACCTGAATAAACTTACTTACATACATACGAAAGGAATAATTTTCTACAGTTACCCCCAGTAACACATTTTCTCTTATGTTAGATTAGAGAAAATGTTATTCTTGCCGTCACTTGTACAAGTTATCTGGCTCCCACATCTTATATTTATGTTTATTTATTCTATTGTGGGGTGTATTTATCATCTTTTTATGTTATGTATCGTGTTTATTATATAATTTTGAAAAAAATATCATGGATGGATTAATGAAAATGTGTATATTAACGTAATATACGACATTTAATGAGACTCGGTGAGTATTGTTATTATTATTATTATCATTTCTAATATGGCGTCACTTGTGCAAGTCGTCTGCTACCACATCTCACATTTATGTTTATTTATTCTACTGTGGGGTGTATTTATCTTATTTATATGTTATGCATCGTGTTTATTATATAATTTTGAAAAAAATATCATAGATGGATTAATGAAAATGTGTATATTAACGTAATATACGACATTTAAATGACTCGATTATTATTATCATTACTAATATGACGTCTGGAGACATAAGACACTTACCGATTTTAATGTGTACCTGCATGCCAGCACAGTATGTAAGTTTATTTAGATACAGGTATACTAAGTATAATTATCAGAGTATATATAAAATATGAAATAACTTTTAAAAACATTTGAAATTTTGGAGTTTCCAGACAAAATGGAGAGACTTAGTGCTTACTGAGCTCACGAAGAATGTAAACAAACAGGGTGGGGCACGGTGACCGTATTAGAAAGTCAGGTGGGGGGAGCCATATAGCGAGTTTTGGTCATAATTTGAAATGACCGTATTAGCGGAACGCCATAAAGTGAAACGCCGTAAAGCGGGGCCCTCCTGTATATACATGTATTTCAGAATCACTAACATTTTGCCAAGTGTTGAACTCTTACGAGTTTTGCAATTCTCATGAATTTGATAACCAAAATACAGAATGAACTTAGGCTATTTTGAGTTTTTTACTTATTTGTAAAGGGAATACTGTAGTCATAGTCCATTGTTATCCAAATTTGCATACTAATTAATACAATTTTCATTACAGTTTGTGGCGATATGTATTGGTAGAGTCACTAGCCATCTTTGCAGTATTTGCATACAGAAAGACTGTGCTAAAAGCAGTGTACCGTTGTTTCTGTCGAGCACCTTGTTATCATCCTGATGAAGAAAGGTCTTCAGTACAAGAGAAAGACCAACTTACAACAATGCATTAGTCATGAAATTTGAGCTTTAAAAGGTTGTAAATCGTGGAACATATTACCATAGTTTGTCTTTGCACAAAAAACATGTGGTGAAAAGATCAGTTTCTTTCATATGCATGAAAATAGTCAGCAATTTTTTATTCCATCATTGCTGGAGTTTTGTATCTTGCACACAAACCACGATGCTAGCTGTGTCACTGTGCACAGCTCGAAGAATATAAAAGTAAAGTACTGTACAAAATATCAGTTGAAAATTTTTATTGCAAGTCATACACTTGCAGCCTGGATATACATTATTATTTATAGAAAAGCACTAAACTAGTATGAGTCATTCAGCACTATGCCTGGATGTACAGAAAATGTAATTAGTGCCTTTCATTACTGTTTTTGTACAGGTTTTTCTCCATCTGTACATTATAGCCAAGTTGTTATTCTTGATTATTTGCAGTTGCGAGAAAAGGCCCATATTTAGAGCCAAGGTGTATCTAATCTTTATTATTATTTATTAAAAATATATAATGTATATTTTAGGATTTGGCATTGAAATTGACTGGGGGAATACTGTCATTAGTTATAGAAGTTGATTCTCATAAAACTGCAAATCCAACATGACCTTATTGGTGCTCACTTGTGCCAGAACATGTATAAAGTAAGAATGTAGATGCACAGGGTTGTAATAATACCACATATAAAATGGTCTCTCTACAGTAGGATGAATCTGCTGATCATTTTTAATGTAAAAAAATAATAATTTTTGTATGTGTAACTGTGGTACTAATTGTATACTTTCATGAATGAATGAATGCCTTAAAAATGCTCAACTTTATTTTAGATTAGAGCAGTGCTCTTATCTATATATTTTAAATATACATTATTTTGACTACAACCTATGTATAGTCCAAGGTTAATTTTTTTTTAGTTGTAATTGTTAATCATCATTTTATTCTGTTTGCTGATGTATGAGAGTTTTCTTGTTTAGTGAAAGCTGAATTAATTTTTTCTCTGCTTTTATAACATTGTACTGATCAACTGATGCAAGAAACTTGCTCACTACTTCACACTGGACACAAGACTACACATAATTAGTTCTCTGGGGTGCCATATATCAATTAATAAGTGGAACTGAGACTTACAAAACAAGCCTTACCACTGGCTCCTTCCTTACACGAGGACTTAGAGACGATGCGACACATTAGGTAGGTTGCTCTCTCATGATGTTTTGCCGGACACTTGCCTTTATTATTTATAGTACGAGTGACAGTTTTGCATCTGAAAGTATTCAGGGTGTTGAAATGGTACTTGATTAGAACTGTTATGATAGATTTAAAAATGCAAGAATTTAAGGATTTAGTTTCTTTTTATTTTTTTATTATTTTTATCGTTAGTATTAGTAGTAAAAACCTCGATTTAATGGACACCAGCGTAACTTACATGTACTTTGGATTTAAAGGACAAAATTTCTGGAAGTTCAGAAACAATAAGGTCCATTAAATTCACAATTGTCAGTTATTATTACAGTCAGCTGGGCAAATTGATTTTGGATTTAACAATGTTTAATTCAGAATTGTTGGTTATTGTTATGGTCTACAGAGTAAATTGATTTTGAATTTAATTGGCATAGTCTGCCAGATACAGAAGGGTCTATCGTTGTTTTAATTATAGAAAAACAATCTTATCAGTCTGATTTAACAGACATTTGGCATTACTTGACTGCCAGACCATTACGAGCGTAATGGTCTGAGAATCGGCATTACAAGACACATCCTACTCCCTATTAGTCTGTTAAATCGAAGTTTTACCACATTATTATACGATATTCACAAAAACAACTGAACCTAAATGTGATTCAGAGCTGAATTTTTGTTAATAATAAAGCTTTGTGATATAATTTTAAGTAAAGTCATTAGTAACTATTGTAGTGAAATTCTGACTAATTTTTTTTCAGTATATTATCGCTTTGGTTTCACATTAATTATCAAATAACAGAGTTCTATGTGCCTTCCATGTCTGTTGAGAAATAAATTTTCCAGCTGGAGAAAGTATGCATTCCATAGGAGTATCAAATTAATATTTTACAAAAAATACTATCTTGAATGGTCATGTTAACTAGATGTTTCCAGCTACTCAAAACCTGTTTTCAAATGCATTTGCACCTAACCCACAAATTGGAGATAAAACCATTTAATGTGCCTGTCCTCAACCATTATTATTTTAATATTGGTCCAGGATGAATGAATTATTGTAATCATGGGGGAGAGGTAAACCCGTAGGATTATACAGCGCCTGTAGGGGGGGGGGGAGGTATTCAGGCTTAATTTAAGAAACTGGAGCACAGATCGAATTCCCTAGATCAAGAGCCCCTCAACAGCATCAAAGAACCTCCCTTGACGGGCCAGGATGAATGAAAATGCGTAGTTTCATCTCCAATACGTGGATTATTTGTGAATTGTTCCAGCAACAGTATTGTGACTTATTCTTCGAAATGCATTTACTGTGTTTTATTTGTTATACTTTTGTTATGTAGTGAGGTTTACATTAGAGTTCCTAGCTGTTAATTCTTTGATGTTTTACCATCAGAAACTATTTTTACACATGCCTGATGGTCAGAGATTGAATGTTGGTATTATATAGGCACCTTATAAAATGCTGTGTAAAAGTAATTTTTATAATGTGTATTTTTATTGTACCATTAACATTTGCATACATGGTATTAAAAGACTGTTATGTTCATTTTAAATTTCCAAATGAAATGTTGCCTTGAACATATAATACATAAAGGAATTGGGCTACAATTATTCTCATCATTTCAGATTATTATAATCATGGGGGAGTGCTAAACCCATAGGGATTATACAGAGCCTGTGAGGGTAGGGGAGGGGGAGATGGAAGGTATTCAGGCTTAATTCAGGGAACTGGAGCACAGATCTAATTCCCTAGATCAAAAGCCCCTCACCAGCATCAAGGAACCTCCCTTAAGGGGTCTTCATTTTGGAACAAATGTGAAGTAAAGAATGAATGAATGAAATATCATTGACAGTCATTGAAGACTTCAAGAATTCACTATCTGATTTTCCTTATGCAGTATATGAAGGTAAAAACCGTACACAAAATGTAAATGTGCATAGAAGAAACAATACTTTCAAGACAGTAAGAATGCATTCACATTATACTGTACATGTTCTTGTGCTTAACTGACAGTTAAAAAATGTTTCTTGTGAGTGCATTAAGGTGGGACTGCCAGTAAGTTGGTACTAAGGAGTATTGCCTGAACAGTTATTGGAATCATGGGGGAGTGCTAAACCTATAGGATTATACAGTGCATGTGGGGAGGGGGGGATGGAAGATATTCAGGCTCATTTCAGGGAACTGGAGCACAGATCCAATTCCCTAGATCAAGAGCCCTCAACAGCATCAAGGATCCTCTTCTGAGGGGATGTTCACTGTGTTCAGGCCCCTCAAGGAAGTTCCTTGATGCTGGTGAGGGCTCTTGATCTGTGCTCCAGCTCCCTGAATTGAGCCTGAATACCTTCCATCCCCCCTTCCCATATGTGCTGTATAACCCTATGGGTTTAGTGCTCCCCATACTTGTAATAATTATAACATAGTGAACATAGATAAGAGTAAGGTGATGAGGGTATCAAACGATTTAGATAAGAAAAATTGGATATCGTATTGGAGGGAGTATGGAAGAAGTTAATGTGTTCAGGTATTTAGGAGTAGATTTCTCAGCGGATGGGTTTATGAAGAACGAGGTATACCATAGAATTGATGAAGGAAAAAAGGTGGGTGGTGCATTGAGGTATGTGTGGAGAAAAAAGAACATTATCCATGGAGACAAAGAAGGGAATGTATGAGAGTATAGTGGTACCAACACTTATATGGGTGCAAAGCATTGGTTGTAAATGCTGCAGTGGGGAGGGGGAGGCTGGAGGCACTGGGGATGTAGTGTCTAAGGGCAATGTATGGTGTAAATATTATGCAGAGATTAGGTGTGGAGTTCCTAAAAGTATTATTCAGAGGGCTGAGGGGTTGTTGAGATGGTTTGGTCATTTAGAGAGGATAGAGCAAAATAGGATGACTTGGAAGGTGTATAAATCTAGTGGAGAAGAGAAGGGGGTAGAGTTTGTCCTAGGAAGGGATGGAGGGAGGGGGTAAAGAGGTTGTGGCAAGGAAGGGGCTTGGACATACAGTAGGCATGTATGAGAGTGTTAGATAGGCATGAATGGAAATGAATGGTTTTTGGGACTTCGAGCTATTGGAGTGTGAGCTGTTGATATTTTCAGTAACTTAAACTAGCAAGTTACTGAAAATGTGAACTGTGGTTTTATAAAGTACGAGTGTCTACTGTATTGTATGTATTATTATTTCGATATATTCATGCAGGGAAGCACTACACCTATAGGGGTCTTAGGTGCCTGGGTGAATTGGAGGCATTTAGGTTCAGTCCAAGGAAGGGGAGCACATATTCAATTCCTTAGGTCAAGAGTCCCTCACAGGCATTTAACACAAAATCTGTGGCTTGACAGCACTTTAGTTTATCAGGTTGGTCTGATAAACAATGTGCTCCACTAATTCCATGCTGAATGATTTATTGTTCAGTTCCACCTAAAAAAAAATCACTCATCTTGACTAGACAGCACCCATCTGGTACTTCCTTGCTTCTACAAACTCTTCAGTGCAGATCTAGAAAGATGTACAATAATTTATGCATCATCAAGCAATTGTTGTGTTCATTATCTGTTGCCATGCATGCTTTCACTAAAAAAAATCCTCCCTAAATGTGTTAAATTACACCAAATATTAAACAAAAATTGTGATGGCATTTCAGATTGCAAAATATCAGTTGATCAGGCCAAAACTGACTTCATTATTTCTTTACTATTAATTATACACTTGCAGTCTCTCTACCATTCAAGTAACTTGTGAGGGCCTAGCGTAGTTGCATGTCATTCTAAGGGGCCCGCTGTATAGCCCTTGCGGCTTAGCGCTTCTTTTTGATTATAATAATAATCTAAGAGGCCCATACAGGATTTTACGCTTTCCTGAGAACTATCTTGTTGCCCACATAGGCATTACTTTCTTTTCAGCACATTTTACACAAAATTCTGCTATTATTTTCCCTGCTTTCACTTTTATTGGTACTAAATAAAAGGAGGGGTGTTAATGTTGCAGTTTAAAAACTGTAGTGTAAAGCACCCTTCTGGCAAGACAGTGATGGAGTGAATGATGGTGAAAGTTTTTCTTTTTCGGGCCACCCTGCCTTGGTGGGAATCGGCCAGTGTGATAATAAAAAAAAAAAAAAATCACTATTCAGCTTTTTCATGTGAAATTTTCACGCACTTACCTCTAGGGTGTAAAGAGTGGTAGTCTCAAATATGAAGATGACTGAGCTGCAAAATTCATTCTCAAGTCTTGGAATACTGCCGCACCTTCGCTTGCCCCACCCTGCCTGAGATGGAGATACAAGAAACTGATGGTCACCAGGGCATGATGACATGTTCCCTATTGGCCTGAAGCAACATCGTGCAGTTTCTATGCCATGATAAACCTCTGGAAATTTTCAGTCTTCACCAGTACTTAGAACCTGTGCAGACTACAGGAATGCTATAGGTATAAAGAAAAAAGTGCTTTCATATGTAACATTGTAATCCCTGGGATATGTGATCTAGGTTATATGTGGCAAAGCTGTGTTTGTCTGCATTAGCTCCTGCACTAGACATATGCTACATACACTTGGCTGTTGATACACACAGCAGCCTTGGTGACATACTGATTACCTTTTATTTTTTTGCACAGATCAGGCTAAGATCTGTTATCCTACTTCAGCTCACTCCAAAGCCCAGCCCTTATTTAATTTATACTAAGACACCCAGGATGCCACCCTCAATAGTCGACTAACACCCAGGTACCTACTTACTACCAGGTGAACAGGGGCAGCAGGTATAGGAAAACATGCCCAGTATTTCTACCTGTGCAGGGGAATGACCCATTATGTGAGCTGAGTGCACTACAAGCTGAGTTAGAGCTGGTAAGCATCATGTCCCAAACCATCAATTTAACAGTAGACATGTCTTTTTCTACTGAATAATGGGTTATTTAGGATATAGGACAAGTACAAATAAGGTGTGTGTAGTGCTCAGCAGACAGAGGATTAAGCTTCCACAATGTCTTGCATTGAATGACCCACATGGGTTTAGTGCTTAACATAAATATAAAAAAAATTACTGAATAATTGACTATGAATTTTCAAGATCTTGATGTTAATTATTTACTTCATATATCTGAATGGGAAAGTACAGTGCCTGCACTCTGAAGGAGGGGTGTTAATGTTGCAGTTTAAAAACTGTAGTGTAAAGCACCCTTCTGGCAAGACAGTGATGGTGAAAGTTTTTCTTTTTTGGGCCACCCTGCCTTGGTGGGAATCGGCCAGTGTGATAATAAAAAAAAAATAATCTGAATGGGTCTGGGATATTAACCCTTTCAGGGTCCAAGGCCCAAATCTGGAGTCACGCACCAGTGTCCAAGAATTTTCAAAAAAAAAATTTGTTATTTTTTCTTATGAAATTGTAGAGAATCTTTTTGTGAAGGCAATAAAACAAAAAGTACGAAATTTGGTGGAAAATTGACGAAATTATGCTCTCGCGAATTTTGATGTGTCAGAGATATTTACGAATCGGCGATTTTGCTGACTTTGACTCCCATTTTAGGCCAATTACATTATCCAATCAACCAAATTCTTAGCTATTTCACTAGTATTACTTCTATTCTATCGATTGAGCACAAGAAATCGCCAAGTCAACTGTTTCAACTACAAAATAAAGTGATTGGAAATTGTTATATTTGGCCAATTTAACACAAAGTTCAAAATATTCCAATTTCAAAATAGGGTCCAGAATAAACAATGTAGGCATTCCTGGCACTAAACTAACATTTCCTCTGTTCATTAGTTATGTTTTGAGGCTTTACAAATAAAGTCCATTTTGATTTTTTATTCACATAATGAATTTTTATTCACACCAAAAAATAGAAGATTTACTGTTATGCAATACTGTAATAATTGTATAAATATCATCACCATATTTGTGAATGTATATTAGACCCACCAGCTGACGTGTATTAGACGTGTGAGGTCGTTTGTTTACTCTTGAATATCGGCAAAAATTTAACATTTCCGCTACTTTGAGCTCAGTTTCAAGCCATTTCCAGTGCTAAAACCAATCAAAATCATTTCTATTTCTGTAATATGTCTTCCATTCTATCAAATGAGACCAAGAAATCGCAAATACACCTATAAAAAACATACGAAAAAACACTGCAAAGTTGCTGTTTTAATCGAAAAATCATGATTTCAGTTTTTTTCTCTCATTATACACAGCGTGCTGCAGGATCTGTTTTATGTGGTGCACACATACCACATAGATGTATTCTCTCATATCTAGGCCCAAATGTACCACTCACAGTTTATCAGAGTGAGCTGAGCTCATGGCGTAGATCTACGGTTTGGACACTCACCATAAAGCCGTAGATCTACGGGACGGACCCTGAAAGGGTTAATATATGATAATGTAAACATGCTATCAGGCTTTTATATGCATTTGAAAGTAAAAAAAGGCTATGTTTCACTTTACAGTAGTAGCCCAGAACCTAACTTCCAGTATAAGCAGACCTGCCTCTATTTATTTATACATTGCAATAAAAAAGCCCCTTAGTAGCACTCACCAATTAGTTAT